AGGAGCCCGGCAGCCCCGCGCGCCCCGCAGCCGCCGCGGGAGGCGGGGAGCAAACTTGCGAGCGCGGAGGGCAGAGCGGGGCGCCGCTTCGGTGCGGGTGGCGAAACTTTAATTATCTCGAGAGGAAAAAGGGGGGCTGTGATTCGAACCCCCGACCTGGTGGTCGGAGCGCGGCCCACTGCGCGAGCGTGAGAGAAAGTTTCAAAGCGGGCGGTTTCCTCCCGCCGGGCCTCGCGGGGCCGGGTGTGTGTGTGTGTGTGTCTGTCGGTCCGTCAGCGCCCCGGAGAAGTCGGGGTGCCGGGCCGCGCTGCGGGCTCGCGGGACCGCGGGTCGGCTTGCCCCACCCTTCAGGGGAGACCGAGGTAAACGGCGCTTCAGTTTCCCTTCTCGGCCCCCTGCCGCCGCCACCCGCTTCCTTTTCCTCCCCCCGCCCCGCCTTTTTTTTTTGAGGGGACCCGAAAAACGGAGCCTCTTTCCTTATGCAACTTCCTGGGCGCCCCCCATCCCTGAGCCCACTCCTCCGCCGCCGGGGGCCACGGAAACATGCCCTCGAGGTCGTTCCGAGTGCACGGGAGCAGAACTAGATGGAAAATAAATTGTTCCCAGGGAAGGGGAGACTGAGAAGCGAAATAAGAATTGGGGGGCCGTGGAGGGCGTGGGCTGGGGCGATCGAGCGCGTGGCGTTGTCATTTTGACCTTAGATCGTTGCTTGTGATGTCCTTATTGGCGTTGGGAGCCCCGGGGTCTCTGTACTGGCCGTCTCGGTCGCGTGGATTTTTGCGCAAGTTTTTAGAAAAACACTGACTCCACTAGAGAGCATTTCTCCGGAAAGTTTCAAGTGCCTCAAAATAGCGAACGTGCAAAACTGGCCAAGGGGAGACCTCTAGTGGTTAAACGCGTCCTAAGTTCGCGAGGCCGAGAGCAAAGTTTGGCCTGTACTTGTAGCTACGCAGTCCGCTCGGGCGTGGAAGTCCTAGGCGGACCCGAGCGAGCAGCCGCCGGCGCTGTGAAAGGATGCTGCCGATCAGAAATTCAAAGTTTGGGAAATCGGAGAGCAGCGAACGCTGAGCATTCGGGCCCCGTCGTTTTCCTCCGTTATTCGGGTTGTCAGAAAACCACTTTGCTTTTATGGCGGAATTTGAGCCTGGGCTGTTCGTGCGAAGGGACAGTTGCGTGGTTTTCTGTGTCGTCGTGTGTCTTGCGTCAGTTTTTAATCGTGAGTCAAAGCGAATGATTTCATTTTGAATATTAAAGTACAAGATGAGATAATGTGTTTGAAACTGAAAAAAAAAAGAAAACCGAGAACGATCTTTTGAGGATTTACCTTTTGTATGAGCTGGTCATTTTATTCTCTGGGAAATGTAATTTAGGGCTCACGTGACGTTTCTTGGCTGTATAGTTATGCATAGAGACGTCCCGTTTAGTTCTAAAGGTGTAATTTTGTATCGTTGGTTGAAAAGTGACTTCTGAATACTTCGTATAATCTGTGACTTAAAAACATTTAACATGTGGGTAAAAACTGCTTCTGGGGTATATTTCTTTTGCCAGTGTGTGTCCTTTAAAGTGTCGGGTTCATTTTAAAGATAAATACAGTGAGGGAAATTAACGTTGTATCAAATGATCCTGTCTCTTTCACCTGCCTTTTAGACAGTGAGAGATTTGATTGGGTGAAGTTAGGATATGGGAATGAGATGAATAATTAAAATCAATTTCACCTCATCTGGCACTAGTTTATTCTAACATAGAGTGATGTGTGGAATTAAGCGTGCCAGTGTTTAGACATGTAAAGTGATTAATTGTGGTTTGTGGACTTAAGAGCTCTTTTTGATGACCGGTGGTTTGATTTTTACTTTTTCTCTTTCAAAATCAATGCTAGGTCCTTAAGGGGAGCCTTGGGGTGCATAGCAGTTGTGAAGACCCCTTGAAGTTTCTTTCTTCACTGCTGCAAGGTAAGATTTGCTCAGTGATACAAATTGCCTGACACACTTGCAAATGTTAGAGGCTACATTTGAAATACCTAAAGTGCCTGTAATCCCAGCACCAGGGAGGCTGAGGCAGGAGGCTCTCCACGAGTTTGAAGCCAACCTGGGCAACATAGTGACTTGTAGGCCAGCCTGAACGATAAGCAGACCCTGTCACAAAACAAAACAAAACAGAACAAAACTGCTAAGTTTGTGGGGGTTGCATTGAACGCACGAACTTACACTAAAGTGTGGTTGATGGTTGAATGAGATATTAAGGAACGTGAGATTTTCCTGGGTAGTCTTTAGACTCACTTATTTACAAGGTTCTTAGCGTTTCAGCACCTGTCTCCTGCTAAAAGCAAATTGTTTTATTCTTTGGAATTGAAAAAGCAGGAGAACTGGAAAAAGTGACTGAAAATTCATATAACTGTTACGTAGGTATTCGGTGATATGGAAGATGCAGACCTCTGAGTGTGTTGGGGGTCTGGGGTAACATTTTGTAACTGAAGTTTACAATGAGAAGTTTGAAGTATTGAAGTCACTCCTAGGGCTTAACTTCAAGCAGGGCGGCGTCCTCCCGGACATCAAGGTACAGGGTTATAGTGAGAGCACAGCGCTAGCATGGATGCGTCTGCTTTGGAATACATCTCCGTGGGGTACAGCTGTTGTCCTCCAAGTTCTTTCTGGTGATTTGGGAAGGTGCTGGCTCATCTCCAGTAATCTGAGACCTATTTTAAGACAAAGTCATCCTTCCTTTCCTGAGCTAGACTAATAATCCTCACGGGCCCAGGTGTGGTCTAGAAGTCAGGCTGAATGATTAGGAATATAAAAATGCTCCTGAGCCAGGTGTGTGTTGTCATTTTCTGCGTGTGGATCATCTTCAGTAGTGTAATTAGCAAAATAAAGAGGCGTGGCAGTGCGGATGTGTTGATGCCAGCAGAGGCAGTGTAGGTAGGAGAGAAATCGCACACAGATAGGGTTCAGGCGGGCTGGTAGGTGGAGGGTTCCATGCTTGGACGCGGGGAGTTGAAGGCTGCTTGTTCTTCTTGATTGAAGGAATCATTGTGTTGAGGATAGAAGGCTAGAATAGAAATCGGAAGGCTGGACTCCTTCGCTCAGTGTATCACCTGTGAAGTCGCTTCACCTCCTGCTTGGATTGGTCATCTGGAAAATGAGAAGAACGGTTCTTGCCTTGCCTCTTTTTGAAAAAAAAAAGGATCAAATAAAATAGGATTTTAGGACTTACAAAGAATTATGCAAGTGTGTGTGTTGGTTGTAGTATCATTTTAGCCACTCTTTATGAAGGGCAGGAAGTAGGCTGTCTAGTAAGCTGATTTAATTCTTGCCTAAAATTTTTTGATTGGTTCCTGGTGTGTAGTGTGTGTGTCGTGTGTGTGTGTGTGTGTGTGTGTGTGTGTGTGTGTGTGAGAAAACTTCCAGCAGTATTTCTTTTCTTGAGAAAAAAGTAATTTACTTTTGATAATATTAGATCCTCGAACAGAGAGACCGAGCTTTGATGTGGTGCTAGATACAAAGCCTGAAATTTATCCCAAATTAGTCATTTAATAAATACAAAGAATAAATGAAAGAAGTACTTGAGAATAATGCTTTATTGTGGAAATGGTAGGGCAGTGAAAGCAGAGGAGTTGGTGTGAAGGGAATTCAGGGACTGTAATTAATATTTTGGTTGCGGGAGTCCGCTGGGAGAGGAGGCGAGGAAAGAGAGAACTGGGGTAGTAGTGATTTAAACTAACCAGGAGGCAGAAGCTGATGCCTGTGAAGAGCTAGAGGTAGGGAAATCCATGTCACGGCTTTTCCTGCCTCCTTGCTGGACCCCTTTTGCTGTTATTTATAGCCAGCTCTCTAAAATCTAGGTGGAAAAGAAATGACAAGCACTATGTGTCATTATTATCAATTTAATAATACTGAACATGGCGACATAAACCTTGACATGTTTAGTTTTATTTCCTTTCTCTTCTTTTGTAGATTCTTCAATATTCTAAGAATCTAAGCCCCATTAGTTGAGGAAAGAAAAGAAATATATGTCCTATTTCATTAGTCCCTGAGTAAGTAAGAGTTGGCTTTTGAGTAGTTTCTCCTGGTCTGCTTGACACTGTCTTTTTACGAATTGTACACTGTTTTAGAGCAGATGTAGTTAAAGTGGGACGTCTGTAAGAGAAGTTTTTTCCTGAGCTGTTAGTGTTGGACTCAAAAAGACTAGGTTTTGCCCTGTAGGGTTCTTTGGATCCTTACCCCAGGAGTAGGCTCCACTCTGAGCTCTGCAAAAAATCAGTTGCATACCAGCTGCCCATGGTACAGGTGGAAAAGAAAAAGGGTTTTAGCCATCTTGGACCCCAGTGAGCCAGGAAACATGGATTTGGGGCTGTCCGTTGGGGGACCGTGGATGTACCTATCTATGTGACATAGTACAGTGCATTCCTTTTTTTTTTTTTTTTTTTTTTTTTTTAATGGTTGACCTTTAGGAACCTGTAAGCAACTTTCTTTCACTCCCTGTCAGGGAGGGCCTGAGTTGTGTATGTAGGGAGTGATGGATTGGGCTGACCCCTTCTCTGTGACCTCATAAGGTGACTTCCTGCCAAAGAGCTGCCCTGCCACGTCCTCACAAGGACTTAGAGCCATTGATATACAAAGGGGATTAATGCTTAAATGAAAAAAAACACAAGTGAAAAAAAAACATGCATTCATCTCCCTCAGGATACTTCCCCTCACTCTGCTCACACTTCATTGTCTGTGCTTTCCTCCTGCACTAGTGCGTGTATGACGTGTGATCAAAAATGTGGTGAATGCTGCAGCTGAGCGCCACCTAGTGGAAAGGGGGGCTGGTGAAAAGGCCATGGTGTGACCTCACCAGACCTGGCACTCTCTACCCTGAAGTCAAAATGATCATGAAAATAAATGTTTTGACCTGAGTCAAGTAGCTTTGGGCGGGGGCAGTGTCTTAGCCGGTGAGGTTTATCTGAGGCGCTGTGGTTGCTAACTGAATTGATTCGGGGCATTGGAGCAGGTCTGGCAGCACCGCCAAAGACACTCAGGAAAGAGGACCTCCAAACTGCTTCAGATGGGGCAAGAATAATGGGAAATGTGTGTTTGCTGTGAGGGGGAGTATTTTGAGAGACATTAATGGCAGTGTCTTTTTTTTCTTTTTGTCGTTTTGAGACAGGGTCTCGCTATGCAGGTCAGGCTGGCCTTGAGCTCACTTTGTAGCCCAGGCTGGTCTCGAACTCACAAAGATCCTCCTATGGCAGTGTCTTTTGCTGTGACAATTTATTAAAATTTAAGGATTCGCTATGTTTTTTGACTAGTCCTCATGGGTGAAGATACTGTGTTTATTTTTATTAATTTATTTATTTTGTCTTTTTGAGACAGCCTCTCACTATGCAGTTCATGCTGGCCTTGAGCTCACTTTGTAACCCAGGCTAGCCTCAAACTTGCAACGATCCTCCTGCCTCAGCCTCCCAAGTGCTAGGATTATAGGGGTGCGCCACCATGCCCGGCAGTACTGTGTTTAAAGAGAATTATTTATATGTTCTTGTGTGTGTACATTTATAGATGATATCTTGATTTGTTTTTCGTTTTTCTTTTTCTTTTTCTTTTTTTTTTTTTTGAGACAGCTTTGTTTTGTTATGTTTTGTTATGTAGTTCAGGCTGGCCTTGAACTCACTGTGTGCCCAGGCTGGCCTCAAACTTGTGGCAGTCCTCCTGTCTCAGCCTTCAAAGTCCTGGGGTTATAAGTGTGCTCCACCATGCCTGGCTGATATCTTGAAATTTGAGAGATCCTTAGAATACATATTTTGTCAAGGGAATCATTATCCAGTAGGAATATTCTCAGCTTTTCTCTTTACCATGTTAAGTTATTTCATTGATATGTGTGGATATGAGTCAGTAATCGGAGATTATGAACCAGTGAGTATTGATTGTAGCAGTTATGCACCAGTGAATGACAGGAAGTACCAGGGCCAGGTACCCTTGACAAATAGTTAAATTTGATTTATGAGGCTAGGAAGTCTCCATTTAGGAGGCAGGATAGAGCGGAAGAAAGAATAGGGCATTTGGGTGAAGGAACTTGAGTCCAGTTAGGTGATCACTTCGTCTCATGGGCTCAAGCTTTCTCCTCAGAATTGGATTTCAAATCAAGGATTTGTACGGTGATTGCAAAGATTGCGTTTGTATTCTATGCAACATAATAAAATATCCTTTCTTTTTTTTTTCCTCGTCGTTTTGAGACAGGGTCTCACAATGCAGTTCAGGCTGACCTTGAGCTCACTTTGTAACCCAGGCTGGTCTCGAATTCGCAGTGATCCTCCTGCCTCAGCCTCCCACATGCTGGGATTATAGGCATGAACCACCACGCCTGGCAGAAATATTTTTTCTGTGTTGGTCTTCTTTCTCTCGTATGTTCTACAAAGCAGTGTTCTGTATTTAGTTAACAGATATTCACTGGGCACCTCTTTTATGCAAATTGATACTGGGAACTGATGTACATAATCCACACTTAGGACAGTGCCGAGTGACCGAGTATGTTGGAGCTGTGGAGAAGTAGAATCTCAATCCTTGGCCTTAGCACGTGCATGATGGCACTGGAGGTCAGCCATTCATGCTTAAGGCAGTTTGGAGAGAGAAGCCGTGGTAAGTGTGAGACTCGGTGTGAGTGGGCAGTAGAGATAAAGGCACAGGCTGAATGTGGTATTAAACTTGTTTCTGTGCTAGGGATCAGGCAGGGACTGTGTGCTCTGCAGGACACTTGACATATGGATATTTTAGCTGCATTGTACAGTAAATGCCTTTTGAATGTCAAGCACTAATTGAGGCACTTTAGATTTCCTTATTTATTCATCTAAAATACTTACGTATACTTTTTGTATGCCTAGCTGCTCTTCTAGGCACTATTTTCACTAACCTTGGACATTTGGTATTATTTCTCTTTTAAAGCAAATAGTGTTCAGTGATACACAGTAACTTGTCTT